TCAACAGAGGCTGAGATTGAGCAGGTGGACAGAAGCCGCTGGTTGACCAGAAGGGCTCTGTGGCATCAGCATGGTTTCAGGCAGACCGAAGCGCTCCTCGGCAAAACGCGAAGGTGAGCTCAGAGGACGGGTGTGTGACACTTCAGCACCCCAATCCCAACGTGAAAACCCAAAGGAGAGATTACGAAAGGTGGCCGGCAGCCTCCTGGCCCTCCCGCCGGTGCAGGGGGCTGCAGGTGGCCCGGAGCCCACAGGTCACTCGTGGCGTGGATGCTGCAGGGCAGCGCGGGAGGAGGTAGCGGGCAGCAGCGGGGCCGGCAGCAGGGATGTTGCACAGAAGACACAAACACATTTATAACAAACCAGAGTTGCTCGTGGGCTCAGGATTCCCATCGCCAGCCGAACGCAGTCACACATCTGTTTCTCCTCCCCTTCTTTCTTATTATTCTCTCCCTCTCGGTGCTCTCTCTTTTTTTTTTTTTTGTTTTTTCCTCTGACCTTCTCCCACCAATGTTTCTGCACTCCTCAGAGATGACAGGAGCTCCAAACAAGAGGCTCTCACCCCACACACCCCGCCCCCCCCCCAGCCAGGATCACCACAGATCATGATGGTTTGATTTTACACCAATTTCTGGAGCCGCTTGCGGTGTGAAGAAGAGCCTGGGCAAAAACGGAGGGCTGAGCCTTTGCTCCCAGGCAGGCAGGTGGGATTTCACATGGGAACACATCCTCCTGCCCCCCAGAAAAAAAAAAAAAAAAAAAAAACAAAAACAAAAACAAAAAAACAAACAAGTGAAAAAATCCCACCCAGCTTCCCCAAGCAGCTGGGTTGAGGAGATATGGCCATCTGATTTCCCTGTTAAAGGTAAGGGAAAGAGGCAAGGATGAACCCACCTTCCCACAGAAGAAGAAAGGGAAACCAGTTCCTCCCCCCAAAAAAAACCTCAAAACCCATCGCACTACACAGAGGCTTGCGCCTCAGCCCCTCTGTTACAGCTGGGAGTGCTCTGAAGGCTCTGGGCCCCCTCTCTGCCCCAGGACCAGAAGGTGAGGTGGACCTGAGAGATAGAGAGATACACTTTGCAGGTAGAAGAGGCTGCAGCTTTCCCTCTCGTCCACACTTTGCTCAAAATTCCCGAAAAGAAACCAAGGGAGGAACTTCACCCCCTTGTTCTAGGTGCTATAAAAATATAGAGCGAGAACAGAGGGCATGAGAAGTATCTCAAGAGGATAGCTTATACGACTGTATATAACTGGAACATTTGAGCTCCTGGCTATTTACAGTTGCCTTGCCATCAAATCAAACACTTTTCCTCAGCTCATTTCTCCAGCAACACCCCTTCGCAAGCTGCTCTCACACCCAAAGTCTCTGTGAAGCTGGTGGCTTGATGTTGAAGATTTCCCAACCCTTGGCAGGCAGGATCACACGGACGTGAGCACGTGGAACACACAGGAAGGCGAAGCAATATGTCCTGGAGTCCTTCAGTGTTGGTTTTGATGACTTACGCTGGGCATCTGCTGCTGTGCAGCCTCATCTGGCAGATTTATTATCAGTGCTGAAGGTATGATCATCATTAAGCAAGATGAGGTATCACAGGTGTTTCCATGCTTGTCAGCATTTAGCTGTGAAGATGCACAGCCCTGTCAGATAATGGATTTGTTCTGGGGCTTTTTTGTTTGTTTGTTTTGTTTTGATTTGGTTTTGGTTTTATTTCTTTAACGTATCCTTCTTGTGCTTAGCACGGCTACATGAAGGAAAAAAACCCCAACATTTACCCTTCAGCAACAGATTATTTTCTCATGTGATTTTTGGCCATCTTTGTGATAAGAAATGCAAAAAATACCTTGGGAATTTCAACCGCTAAACTGAATAAATGGTGATACTTTTTAATTTATGCTGCTTTACAGAAACTAACACGCCTGTAAGAAAAGATTTCTTGGTTTGACTAAAGCAGAAGAGTTAGTTCGTGAGGTTTTATGTGCTCTCACCACATACAACAGGACTTGTTTGTAGAAAATAATGTCTACTTGCTGGCTAAGGCACAAAGGATAAGGTTAATATTCCAGATGTACCTGTTTATACATCAGCCATTTAGAATAGCAGAAAGTTAACAATTTAATTATGTTAAAATATGCATTATAGAGGAGAGATAAGTGTATGTGAGTGTGTGTGTACTGCTCAGCTGAACAGCCACACTTTGAGCAACTGGACAAAATCTTACAGTCGCTTTCCTTCTGTGGAAGCACGCTTGCAACAATACTCGTGCTCTCATTTCCAGTCTTTCACTGATGGTACTGAATTAGCCCGATACAAATGCACACATCCACAATTTGGCTTCCCACCTTGTAGAACTTCTTCATTAATTAGAAGAAACCACAGTGATTCTTAACGAACACAGCTATATCTGTTTGCACCAAGTCTGACTTGCTTTGAAATCCCGATTCCTTGGCTTAGTGCTTCCAGTTAAAACTACAGTAGAGGCAAACCAATTCTTCACTTTGAAAGAAGAGACGCCACAGTCACAAAGCCGTGGCATTTTGCCTTTTCATCCTGTCACTCTAACACAGGAAGCCTTCTCGAGGCTTAACATGCAAAAGAAATACCTAATAAAAGCACACAGGGGCCTAAACCCAAGGCGTCTGTGCGACATGTACCTAATTCCACTAAAAGCATGTTGCAGCAGGGAGAATGGCACGAGGAGACCGAGGAGGGGTGCAACCCCAAGATACTAGTGCTGCGTGTGCTGCAGGTGTGGCTCACAGAGCTGTGCCAGCCTGGCGCGGGGGCAAGGGCAGGCCCTGCTTCTGCCAGCGGCAGCACCGGGGAGAGAAAAGGAAAAAAAAAAAAAAAAAAAGAAAATTTGTGTACTTGCAGAATAGCTTAATCTTGATTTAGCTTCAGCAAAGTCAGTGGAACCACAGAAGGGATGAATCTGGCCATCTCTGTACTCTTGGGTACCCACCCTTTCCTCCAGCTGGTAACAGCGATATGAAAAATATCTCAGTGCAAAACTTCCAGCCCAGTTGAACCTGGCAAGTTTAAGGTACAAGCATGGAAATTAATCAAACCATTCCACTCAAACCATTCCCAGAGAAGCCTACTTTTTATGCAAAATCTTGAACACAAAAGTTTTCCCTTTAAAAAAATTTGACTGTGCTCATTCAATCCCCAAACTTTCTGAGACTGTATCACATAGCACTTAGTGATCCTGAAAGTCCAAATGACATTTTTATGGGAAATGTTATGGGCAGAATATGCAAGCTTGCTGCATGACTGCCACCAGACAACATCCGAAAGGATATTTCTGAAAAAGGTTCTCAGAAAAAACCCTAAATTATTTTTTTCTTTACTGTAAGAGAAGGGGCAGGTAGGGGCAGAGAAGACGGCAGTCTGTTGTTGGTTACCACTAAGAGTTTTCAGAACGCACCTGTAATTGCAATGAAAACTCCTACTCACGCCTCTTGGAAATATTGGTTTAGGCTGTTCAGCTGTGGAGGAGTGAAACAAGTGAGCTTGTTACAGACAAGAATAAACTTTTGCTCTAGGACGTGGAAATTCCAGAATCTCTACACAGTTCTGCCGATTCGCGATATAAATCTGTCCCCTGACTGTACTGCTTAGTCTTCAGCCACTGACATAAACCAGTGTTTTAGAAGACACAGGAGAAAGAAAAAAAATAGAGGAGCGGAAGCATTCAACTCCAGACACTTTATGAACAGACTATGGAGAAATTGAAACCAAAGACCTAGTAACACTTAGTTTCACGAGGTACAAGAGGGGCACTCAGGTCACTAAATATAAAAATTATTCAGGCCTTGCCTGTATCCAAAAGACAGTGGAAAGACTCAGGGTTAAACACAGAAAGTATCAAAGGAAACGCCCCTCCAGCTTCTCATAACACAACGGTCTTTGTCACAGGGAGGTGGCAAGAGCCTGGCGTACGTTCTAGCCACTTGTATTTTATATCCCACATATTCAGGTGGTTAAAGCTCAGCTGGGAACCCCAGTTCCGAGGGACTGCATCCGTTTGTTTATGTTCCAGAGGTGAACAATCTCTTCACCTGCGTCTTCAGCCGCTGCAGACTGATTGCAGAGACGCATTTTACCTGTTTCCCGGGCTGACGGTCCCAGATAAAGCAGAAGCTGAGACTATCAGGCCAAGATGGCTTTGCTCTACTAAACTCCTGCTAACGCTGCAGGGTGGTATTCCCCCAGAAAGGTTTGAGGAACGCCAGAGAAAAGCCAGTTGTGAAACATCCTATCAGATTAAACTGCAACACATCCTGACAGGATGCAGACTGTAAATGCAAGGCATGACCGTGCAAGCCGTCCATCCGCAACTCCTGTTAGCTGAAAAAGACAGGAGAGAGCTTAGCTGCTTTGGAAATAACTGAGCCACCTCAGCAATAAACTGTTGGGTCAGTCCCAGAGATGACAACCAAGTAACTCAAGAAAGTGGTACCCATCAAATATTTAAGCTGTCAGCTAATTCGTAAAAAAATTTGAACACAGTCCTCAGACATCCAAACCCATCTACAATTCAAATGGGATGCTAAACCAATTAATAACTGATAGGGATCTGGTTACACTGCCAGCATTTATAGTTACAGTTTTTCTGCCATTTATTGCTACAGTTTTATATTGAAAAATATATTTTTTTTTTTCAAAATAATCCAAGGCTAGCAAAACCCAAGCCAATGGTGGACTTCCGATGACACTTCTTTCACTGTCTGGAGTCCCTAAAATTCGATGCAGTTGCTGGAGTTCCTCCCCCTGTTTTGCATACGTCTTACTCTCCCTGAGCTCTCTTCCCACGTGTTCCAGGATACCAGCCATACCTTCCAACTCCTGCGTGATCCAGAATTTCCACCTACCCACATAACTCTGGTGCCTGTATCGGTTCTTTCCTGTCTCTGTGCTCCTCAAGATTAGAATTCATTAAGAAGAAACAAGTCAGGAGATTTGAAAAACAAAACAAAACACAACACAACACAGCAAACACAAACCAGAAGTTTTTATTGGTTGAAATTTCCCTGCTTCTTTCCTCAGCGGGAGAATAATCATGGCAACAAGAAAAAAAAAATACAAAACAAAAAAATCCCCCCAAAAGTGCTTCTGTTGCAAATATTATTATTTGTCTTTCCATCTCTTCTTATTTTGCAGAGTTTAAAACAGCAATGTTTCCTCCTCCTTTGTTTTTTTTTTCTTTCTCAGTGTGCCACATCAGTCATTAGCTTGTTCTTGAATATCTGAAGAAAAAACAGATTCATAAGAAAACGTGACTTCACATGACACAGAATATCTTCAATTTTTTTCAAATGTTTTATATTTTAAAATTAGACACACACGCAACACACAAAGATTATTTAAGGCATATGACACCTTTCAGCAAATCTAGAGTAAGGTCATTTTGTTTCCAAAACAAAAGCCTGAAAATGGAAATCCAAACAGAAAACTCCCTTCCCCTCACCTTTCCCTTTCCTTTTCCCCTCTTCTTGCTCAAGGATTCTGCCTTGAAGAGAGGTGTCTATGCCTCTGGAAATCTTAGAAATAATCAGTCCTCTGTAGCCATTCAGCTCACAACAGATGATGTCTGACAGACTTTGTCATCTATTTTACTGACCTATAAGTCCCCATTTCTAAAAATAGATGAATCTAAGAACTAGATATAGGATAATGAGGCCTGTCTTGGACAGCAACACAGAAAAGAGAAAAAAAAAAAAAAAAAAAAGGGTTCCATTCCCATTCATGCCACAGTTTTGATCCTGCATTCAGAGGAGCTACTGCCATCTTGGACCTCTTTCCTTATTACTCTCTTCTCCAAAAAAAAAAGAAAAAAGTCAGCTGGCCTTTCAGTTACCAACAATAGTCTCTCCTTTCTTGCTGCCACTCTCTGCTTCCTCTCTTTCAGCAAGCGAAGTCAACTCTGGCTCTGTTTGGGGGTTCTGGTATGAGCTCTGGTCTGGTGGTGTCACTCCCTTTTGTTTTCCAGTACATGGCATGGATCCCAGTGTTGTTCCATTCGGCGCCTGAAGAAAATACGGAGAGGAGGGCAGGCCGGGCGGCTGGTTGTAGGAAATCTGCTCCGTGAAGTACTGTCCTGCTGTGCTAGGAAATGGCATTTGTGAGCACAACTGATTTGAGAATGGAGCTCCCTGCACGTAGAAATCATTCCAGTGGGCAGCTTGATAGGCAGTGATGCCTGCTGAGGAGAAAACAACAAAGAAAGGACAAAACAGCAAAAATAAGGACAGGAGGATTAAAGCCATGGATATGTAAAGAGGCGTACGTTGTCCTTAGGAAAGCATGCTCAGTGCAAATACAGTATTACAGTTATGCCTGAGTGGTTACTGCAGTAGAGCAGACATCACTCACATATGAAGGTTAACTTTGTTGTTTGCATTGCAGCGTATTTATCCAAAACACAGTTGTTAGGAGGAAAAATTTGGGGAGTTCGTAGCATTGTTATAATCTAGAAAACATGATGTCATTTCAACACAGATCCTGAGTGTCTGTGATGATATTAGAGACACACACTCCTGATTTTTTTTTCCACCACTCGTATTTTCCAAGTTAGCTTTGCAAAGCATCACCTGGATGCTTAAGCTTCACTTTCATTTATAAAAGCAGCAATCCAGGAAGCAGGAATGGTTTTTAATTAATAGCTATAATTCAGCTACACTGCTCACTTGCTTACATGCTGAAGAATTACGGGTGTGTCTACACTGACAGACTGGTTCCCTCCCCAGTGCACTGCTGGAACCCCAGGCCCTGCTCATCCACACTGTGTAACACTCATAGGATCCCTTCCCTGAACAGAAGAGCCACGCGCTGCTGATTTATTCCATACTTCTGTCTGGAGCACAAAGAACATCAACCCGGCCTCTGTTCCTTCAACAATCCTCCAACTTCCAGTCCTAACAAGGCTTGTACCTTTACACATCCCTTGATGCTCGCACGATACGCCCCAAGGCATGCAACACACACTTCCAGCATCACACTATAAAAACATTAATTTGGTGCGCTGAGACACAGCCCTCTCATTACTTCTGGCACTTCAAACTGAAAAAAAAACAAAAACAAAAACAAAAACAAAACAAAACACAGAAAATAATTGCACCTCACAACCAGAGAGGAGAACCAGGCCGAGCATGCTAGACAGCATGGGTGCTACCAACCTGTTCTGGAGAATGTTAGCCATGAACGGTGGGAACATGAGCCTGCTTGCACCCATCAGCCTGTGAGTCAGGCTTCTCTCCCTGACAAGGTCCACAAAACCAGTACAAAAACAGAGCAGCATCTGTGGTCTGAAAACTCTTTAATTTAATTTAACTTAATTTAACAAACCTCATAGTCCAAACAAATAAACTGCAATAGTTTATCTTGGGCTTTAGCAACTTCAAAATACAAATCCCTGACACAGAACAAGGAGACTGACAATGTCACTTTTACCCAGTTACTTTTTAGAAAATGATACTAAAGTGCTTTAATCAAAGTGGTGTTGCAAATTCATGTCAGAGAAAGAAAAAGAAAGAAGCTTCACTTCTGCTGGTCCTTGTCTTTAGCTCTCTTCTTTTGCACTACTCTAAGGTACGTAGCATTCCTTCAAAATGGTTTCTGCAGAAGCCCAGCGGAGTTACAAGCCTGTTTTTCTTGCTGTCTCCAACTATTCCAGTTGCTGTGGCACCTTTTTCACTTTGCAACCTTGACCCCCACTCACACACACCAAAGGCGTGTTAGTTTGCACAACAGTACACTCCTGAGGCAAGTTGCCTCTCCACTGCAGACAAAACCATTGCACTACCTGACATACTCACATGGTAACGCTCTCTCTGACATGCAGCCTACACAGAAACTTCTGATTCAAATTAATGGGTCACTCAGCACTTTTAAAAAAGCGTACAAGGAAATTACAAAAAAAAAAAAAAGATGGGTAGCATATATATATTTGTGCAGGTATATGCACATTCCTTCTTTCTGTCCCAGTCATCAGTAAAACTACAGATCATCCAACGTTTCAGGGTATTCTTTAGTTATTTCGGAGGACTGGGATACCAAAAGATTTCAGAAATTTACCCGAGTTTTCACTTGGCTGCTGTAACAAGAGCTGTCCCCCCATGTGGTTTTGTACGTTGTCTTGTGTGGCTCCTGCTGCCCCATAGGTTGCAACTCCACTGTTACCAGGGCAGGCGAGGAAAGCTGCATGGGACTCAGCGAGTATTGGAGTGAGGCGGACACTGGCGAGCACGTTGCTGGCCAGGTGACTTGTCAGATGGTGGAACTGGGAGAGCTGGTGCTGCTGGGGATATTGGGGCAGCTGGTAAATTCCACCCTGGCTGCTGTACTGACAGTACGTGGTCTCTAGGTTGCCTGCTGACTCCAGCTGCTCAGGGTAATTGCAGGAAACTGGTGAACTCAAGCTGCAGAGAGAGCAAGGAGAGAGGCAATTCAGAGATGAAAGTAGGGTCAACAGCTACTGCAACCTGTACAATAAACAACTGTTATACCTACTCCTTGCCAGCTGCTCCAACCCTGATCTGACTCCAACCCTTCCTCCCAAATGCCAGGCACAGGACAAGGGCAACAGAAACCACTTGAGCCAAGTGCTTTTGTATCAGGATTCTTTAACAATGCGCGTTAGTGGGGATTACCTTTCCTTTAGTTCTTCCCACTTTCCAAAGCTCACCCCAATGCTTAAAATAACCTTTCTCAAGGATTCCTTTTCACCGTGCTCCTGAACCCCACTCTCACTTGACAGGCACACAGTTCTGAGAGCACTCTGATTAAAGGTATCTCTTTCCTGACAGCAGGTTCCCTGTCTTACTACGTACATTATACATCTTTTCATACTCCATTTAAAGGACATTCTCACTCCCACATCTAACTTTTCACTTATGGTCCCACGTATTTCCTTGTTCCACGTCCCACCTTCACCCTCCCATGTCTTCTCCCACGGTTCACTTTTTTCACCTCCCTCAAAGACAAGCTCATATCTGTTCCTACCCTTGATTCTGGATGCTGTAAGCGAAGGGCTCCCTGGAACCATTTTCCTGACTGGACAAGCTGCCTTCACTGTTGGGAGTGTCCAGCATCAAGGGAACAATATGACTCTGGGAGTTGAAGGCCAGACCAAGGGGTAGGCTGGCCCTGCGGATGGGTGGAGGGCTGGGAAGATTAGGGAAGCCCTCCATTCTGCTGGAACTCAACTTGAGCTGCGGTAACGCCTTTGCCTGAACTGTTTCACAAGATGCCACCACTCCTGCCACTGAAGAGACTGTGAATAAAAAGAGAGACTCTGTCATACTATGCTGTCATACTGAAAATTAAAAGGAGCAAGCAGAGGGAATGACAAGAGTGGCACAACAGAAAAGCATGATGCCAGTGAAAGAGCAGAGGTTAGCTGATGGGGAAAAAAAAGTAAACCAGTACCAGCATTGCTGCTGGGAAGCAAAAAGGAGTAGTAGCAAGCTCTCTGGAACAGAAGATGATGTTTATTGGGTAAATAAAATTACCTTCATGATTTCAGTCTCTGCATACTGGATTTACTCAGCTCTCAAGAAGGCAGCCAAATGAAGCAAAGTACTTCCTGGAAACAAGCCAGGAACAATCCCCCAGCCATCTTCCATCTCTACTGTCCTCTGGGAAAAGTGTGCTGCACAGATTACCCTTTTGAAAAATTAAACTGTGGTTTGAAGGAAACAAAAATGTGCCTTTCGAGATCTGATGTCTAGGCCATTTTTTAACCAAATTTTCAATCCTGGTTTGGCTTCTGATAAGGCATGAAAAAAAAAAATATGGCAGCTGAAGGGCCTTGGGAAAAAGAAGCTGGGGGATGCAAAAGGAAACCAGCACCACTTGGTTGCTAGAATCTTGTTTGGTGACCTGTCTCCTCAGTCACTGCTGGAAAAGGAGAGAGGAACAGTTTCCTACAGAACAGCCTCTGTGGAAAGAGGACAATATAGGAAATGAAAAGGTCAGAGTCACATATGCTGCTGATCCACAGTAACAAATACACACAGAAGTTCAATAAGTTTGCACATGGTACAGGAGAACAAGATTCTCTTTTATTATGCCAAACAGCAAATGATTTCTCTCCTGAGAAGTATAACCATCAGGTATACATGACAGTCTGAAATGATTTTTCAAGTCTAGCTAGGTTGAACCAGCACAAGAATGAGGCAGATATGAGAAAATATCACTGACTGTTCAGGTAAAATTGCTCTACTCCCACACATTGTAAAGCATTCAGGGAAATCTAGTTGCATGAATAGTTTACAGCTGTACTTCACCCTTGCAGGCATACAGAGTAACATCAAATGCACTCCACCAGATGTGAATCAAAGGCCTTAAATGTAAAACCTAAACATAAAGCTGCCACAGCAAGCACGAGCAACCTTTAGAGAATTTTAGAATACATGCCCAGAGAGCTGATAAGGAGATTCCACTTCAACACCTTGCAGCACCACCTCTCAGATTCCCCAGTGTGCTGTACAATTGCGTCTACCTTACTGCATCTTCCCACATCACATTTTTTTCAACTCTCTGCAACTATGGAGAGAGGGGTTCACGACATTGCAATGAAAACTTGAATAGCCCTGATTTTGGGCTCATTTAGAAAACTAGAGCAAGATCTAGGATGGCATCTCTAAAGTATTCACATGTCCAGGCAATTCTCAGTGGTTTATTTTTTCTATTTGAACACACTATTTCTCTGTCATGCAGCATGTATGATACACCTATCACATTTACATTTTTTAACACAGCAGAGATCCAGTCCTACACAACAAAGCACTAGTCAAGACATTTAGCTTCCTTGCAAGTCAAAATGACTTAGTCAAAAATGAAGCTGAAGATCTCTTCTGATTTTTTTTTTTTTTTAAACCTTCATTTGCACTGGTTCTTCCTAACCATTCTGTCCCAGAATGTCGCAGTTCACACAAACATTATGAAACAACAGCCACACAGGGCACAACTTACCTGAAAAACAGTCTATATCTGGATGAAGTTTCAGTTCAATAATGACAGTAGGATTAGCTAGTCTGCAGATGGTCTTAGTCTTGCTCAGGATGACTACAAGTAGTGTTAACAACATAGCCCAGGCAATCACTTCTAAACCCACTTTCACACCTACTAAGAATTAAGTTGTGTTGTTTGAAATATTTGTAACATTTAGTGTAGATAATCTTTGTGGGTCATGGCAATAGGACACATGGGCAAGGAGATAGTGAAGACGGCAAAGAGCTGGTTCAGCCTTTTCTAAAGTTTCCTCTACTTCTCTATCCTTTAAAGAAAGTCACTGAATTGGTATCTTCTGAAGAAAAATCACAAATGCAGTAAGAACAAACAATTCCCAAAGAAGTAATATCTGCTAAATCTGACACTGTATTTACAGAAGATTCCAGCATCTTGTTCTATGATGAATTCTGATTGCTGGCTTGAGTTAATACTTACATTTTACAATTCTGTTGCTCTTCCTGACATTGATGCAGAGAGATATATAACCTCAGAAGGCTTTCCAGTGAACATAGGAATGTAACATTAGGAATTTTGTTTATCACACCCATTATTTCTGGGTTTTCAGAGAGCAATCTAACAATGTGCAGCTTCAGATCTCTGAACCAGTCCTGGTGCTACACTTGTCTTAACTCAAGAACAGCTATTCTAAGTCTTCGGCTACACAGCTGTCTTCCCCCTTTGGTAGCTGCTTCCTCAACATCCTAGCAGACTTGACAGCCATTCTTTAATGCAAATAGATTCCAATGAATGAGACAAAGCCTTAAATTAACAAAAATGGATGTGTATGTTACTGCTGGGATGACTGCAATTTCAGATTTTCACCAATCTTGAAGGAGACTGAGGCCTATTCTAGAGAGGTATTGTTAACAGAGCAGCTCTCGTGCACAAGATTTGTTACCCAAGTGACACCTATCTGCACTGGAGCCCCTCGACATCAGCCATACATGACTTCTTTAACCAAGCACTTATGTTGACTCCAAAAGGCCTTGGCCTGAGACACCTGCAATGATTTAGTCAGATAACTATGCAGCTGCTTGCAGACTGTTTGGGAGGCCAGAGGCCGTGACTGTAACTGTTCAACAAGACCAGTGCTGGGCATAATGCAGCTGGTGCTCTTTACAGGCTGAGCAACCAGTCTAACCTCAGACGGTCTACTTGCTATGGCTGCTTTCTCAAGCATCAAATCAAGAGTTCAGCAAAAGGCTCTATTACTGTGAGTCTCTACGTCATACACTATCCAATCTGGTTTCTTTTAATGAAACATGCCTGTGTAATTGCAGCATTTACTGGAACATTAAGGGCCATCACAAAGCTTTCATAGGTACATCCTCTCCTTGAAATTATGAGAAAATACATTTCTCTTGTAAATGACATCTTGAAAGCAGACAAAATATTAACCAAACTTAGGAGCAACGGCATTCTTCATTTAACAGACTGAAGATCAGTAAACCAACTTCAGACTCTAACTGCATTGCTTGAAGTGTGTCAGTCTGATCCTTTCCTGGATTTTCAGTAGGCCATAACCTACCACTTGTTTAAAAGTTATGACTCTTGCTTGCTGTGTCAGCTATACATCATCAGCTTTAAAGTAATTTGTTCAAAAGCCAGAATCTTATAAGTGAAGTCATTAGAGCTTGTCATTCATTTACCATTCTTTGACAGATCACATTCAACTTCATCCAATTGCTCCCAAGACTTCCATTACAATCCCATCTCTGACACTAAATAATCATCTTACTATTTGCATAAGAGATACCAGCATAGGCTGGGCTCCTGAGAGGTGTCTTCAGCAAGATAGACACAGGAAACAAAATTATTTCCTGCAAAAGCACCAGTGGGGCAGAAATAGCTCCTCACACAACCCAGGGGCATAGAAAGTAACTTTTCTTTCTAAAGGGTCAACTGCAAAGAAAGAATAAGCCAATTCTTTAAGTCAGTGAACAACAGATATATATACCTGTAAGAAATCTCAGACAAAAAAGAAAAACTTCAAATAACTGCAAATGTAAAAAAAAAGGAAAACTCCATTAAAGCAAGCTACCTGTCTAGCAAAAATAGTTTTTTTAAAAAAAAAATATTCTAAGGTCAAAGCAAGCTTAATATTGAATTTTTGAAGCACAAAAGGCTCTTATGGCAAGTACTGTAGCTAATATCAAAATCAGAAGCCATAACTGCCAGCAAGGTAGAGCACAACTCAAATACAACTTGCTAGAAGTTTTAATCAGCCTGATTGCAGAACTGTACAAAACAATGGGACATTAAAAAAACCCAAACAAACAAAATGACAGACTGTCCAAACTACTGGCTAGAGCAAGGAAAAACAGTGGAAGAGGCAGCACTGAACACTCTCCAAAGGTGCCTGGTAACAGATCAGTACTGTTCTCATGAACTTAAGTCATTTGCTTGTCCTGTGGAAAGTGGTTAAACACGCTGCTACCAGGGAAGGCACCTGAGTAGCCACTCCGTTAGGGCACAGTCTCTGGATACAGCTGCACCACTGCACACAGGTCACAGATTATTTTGCTGAAACCTGCCATGAGCTGTTTCCACAAGGGCCACTTTCACTAAGCAATAGGTTTTGCCTTGTAAATTGATGACCTTTTTATTCATTTGTTCACGCTTTTATTTTGCTTCTGTTACTTTGGATTTTATCCTATCCAGGTTTTATCTCCATCATTTTCTGAGATATTCTAATAAAGAAAACAGGTGGACCCTGGGTGGCCCTATTTAGTGACAAGCTTTTTTTCTGAACAAGAAGGCTGAATGAATTAAAAAGTCTCATTGTCTTTTTTTTTTTTTTCTTTTTCCCATTTCATTTTTTGCTTTCATTTTTAGAAAGAAAGCACAATGCTAGATATCAAAAAAAGCAAGTTTCATTTCCCATGGCTGTGTTATCCTGCATCTAGTAAGGCAAAACTGCACCTGAAGCTTTTCATGCAACCGTACCACGCAGATCTCTCTTCTGTGAGGACTCTCTACACCTAGTAAATTCTTTTCCCTCAGAGGGAGTGCTAATTTAGATCTCTACTCTGCCTGGGCACCAATTTTCCTATGTCTTGTAGGAACGTAATTTTTAAGACTTTCACCTTCCAATCAAATCTGATAAAATAAACTTGGGGTCAGGGTGGGTTTCATAAGCAAAGAGCGTGTGGCTTATTACACACACCATATTCCTCCCTTTCCTTGGGAAACCAGGTTAAAAACCAATCACAAAATCTCATAGTTTGTGTGCCTTAGCAAAGCATGCCTCTTTTCTGAAAAGTGACTTAGGAAAGGTACTTTTTCTTCTAAACAGATCTGGATCTGGAAAGTATTTACCAGCCTTAGATGACACAAATAGATTTCATTACTTCTTGCCCAGCGTGATTTAAAGAGAACAAGGGGAAGCTTGTTCCCTCACATAGATCTAGCAGAATGGAGTACATTCTCATTTTCACACATCCTTACACTGAAGATACAGGGGGTTCAGACAAGTAAAGGAATTGTGTTTCATAAAAGCTAGATGCATACACAGTAAATGCACTAGGTAGTAGTCAGCAGCAAGTTCCAAGGATTCAAGGAGTAAAAACCTAGCTATCTTTATCGCTCATTTTCTCACATACCCAGTCTGCTCTCAGGGACATTCACTTGCCCTTTTTTTTCCTTACACATTGCACAAAGAATTCACACAGGACATTTTTTTCCTATCAGAAAGATTGCTTGTGATTTCCACATGGAGAACTGCATCCCAGTGAGCAGATTCTCCAGAAAGGAGTTGCTCAATACAGACAGATGACAAGATCACATCCCCAAATGAAATTTTGTTTCTCTAACAGGCATATTCTCTCTTGACTAAATAGCATGTCTGCAGATGTACTTTAAGAGCCAGGGAAGTTCTGAACACAAGTGTAGAAATATGAGGATGTTTGGTTTGTTTCCTTTAAATTAATTATTTTGCAAAATCTTGGTCTTTATTGAATTAAATACAGGACTCAACAGACTGTACCACTTCATCATTCTGGGAAGCAGCGAATTATTCAAACACTTTCACCATATTTACTCTGCTGAAAGAAGAAGTGGAAAAACTGGACCTAACTGAATTACAATCATATTGGTTAAACAGCTGATAGAATTGACTTAGTCCTTGCCTTGAGACTATGACAGGCAAATTTGAATTACAGAAGTGCTAAATTACAGTATCAAGAAAGTATCTCAATTAAATACTTCAGCATACATATCTATTTATTAGTGTTCTAAACTTATTGATGCAATCTCATAGTTGCTTTCTACAGTGCGAAAATACATTTAAGGTATCAGCACTGTTAAAAATACATTAGTCTTTGGGTCATTATTAGAAAATCACTTGCATAGAACTGCCCTTAATACTGTATACTTAGAATACAATGATGGGGCAGAAATGATGGACATCAAATTCAAAACAATTAAATTACACTGGGAAGCAGGAAAATATGCACAATGGTACCATACATCAGCACATTTATTGCTTGTGATATCCGTCCTTGAGGAACTGGTAAAATCCTCATCATTTTGGAAATATTTTCAAGTTGTGCCAACTTGGAAAAGTAAACATATATAGAAAATGCATTAGGGAACATTCCCTGACTCTAGGGATTGCTCTGATACTCCACACATGGCTACACAACTGAACAAATCCTCGTTTTGGTTGCCATCAAGCTTTAAAGTCTAAATGCAGCTCAGGTAAAAAAACGGTCCAACAGCACACCCCACTGACTTTCAACAACACTGCAACAGCAATTTAATTAGGCTGTATGCTTAAGAACTCAACTAGTCTCACTCCCTCAAGGTCTTGAACCAAATAGAAAACTGCACTGGCTGGAGAAGGAACCACCTTCAGAGATTAAAAGGCACTGGAGTACCTGAGGGAGACTCTACAATCCCAACAGTTTATACAACACACCTGCCTCACACAGCTACTTGACTACAGATTGTAGCCAGAATGTTACAGTCTAAACCAGAATATGAGAGGGGTGTATCTGCCATGAAGAGCATAATACCCAGAACAATACTTGCATCACCATTCAGAGAAGTGGTATCAGTCTCAAACATCTATTATGGAAGATTGCCCCAATCACATATCCTTATGAAGTCACATTGCTGGCTTGTGTCAGGACATGAATAAGGACTGCAAATCTGGCTCTAGCATTAGCACAGAGGCACCACCATGCTGGTACATAGCTGGTAGATACTCAATTAGCAGTGAGCTGTTAAACCTGGTGTCACTTTTTGGACTGATGGCCTAGGGCTCTCACATGACCTTCCCTGAAGTGTCTGGGAACCTACCAGCACCACCAGCTAATGCTGGAGCTGTGCAAAACACTAGTACTGACAGGAGTCTCACCTGAGGAGGAGGTGAGTGGTGCAGGATGTCCACTGAGCAGGCTGGAGTAGTTCCCAGCTGTAGTGTCAACACTCAGTACGGCAGACGGCTCATGAGCAGCGTCAGGCAGTGGAGGCTTGGGCAGAAGAGGTGCCCTGGAGGTACACACAAAAGGTATGAGCCAAAGGACAAGGTGAGACATTATGACAAAATATATACACTCTTTTAACTATCCCACGATGGTCAAATCCTAGATCACTAGCAGGTGGAAAGGGAAAGCGCCGGCTGATGTACAAGTACACAGAGAAACAGTGCAAGGGATGCTGTGTCAACAGTATTTGGGGGAAGCAGCCCCAGGTGGCTAATGTGGAAAGGACAGGCAGCAGGGACAGTGCAATGAAATCAGTCAGGTGGTCTCTGATCTTTTACTTAGTTTTTCTCTTTTCCTTCTAGTTTCTTCACAGGGAGCCTCTTGCTCCAGATTTCCATAAATACCTCCCTGGAGAGACGGATTTCTTCCCTCCCTGCCTCAAAAGACCACCTATCCTCCCACATACTCCCTCTCCCTACCCCCAATAAATGCCCCCTGCTCACCTGTGACAGGTGCTAGCAGTGTATTTCTTCAAAGAAGCCCACGACTTTCTAAGAATGATCTACGCAAGCAGCATTTCCATCACCAAGTGAAAATCCATGGAAATGGAAAGCAATGGTGGGAGAAGGACTGGGATAAAAGAATTCCCAAGTGTATACAAAGCACCTGGCCAATGCACTCACAGAAAACAAAAATGAAGGCGTGATTCCACAGACCTTTTCTATCTCATCACCTGCTCTCTACATGACTTCAGCAAGAGGGATTTGAACAATTTTATTTCAAAATAGTGCTACAGGTTAAACAAAAGCCCCCTTAAGAGGGCCCACAACAATTTGCCCAGAAATCTGTCAGGCTGGAGAATACAGAGGACAGGCTACTGAGATTCAACTCAATAGCCAGCTCTCCCTAGCTTAAACATAAAGGGGAAATGGCAAAGGAAAAAGTTTAATGCATTAGGTATCTACTGTGGAGAAATGAGAAGACAAAGTCCCTCACCCATAACCATCTGACCCAAAGGGGACTGACAGAGCTGATGATGTTGGATATTTTTTGTTGCCTTTCACATTCAACTTCTTCGATTTTCTCCACTTTGCCCTGCGATTCTGAAACCAGACCTGATAAATGGAAAGAAAGGATATGTTCAGAGAGGAAACCATCTACACATGGGGACACAGGCAACAAATCAACAATGACTGTCTCCACACATCACCAGGTGAGGCCAGAAACCTTTCTTCCAGAGAAAGGAACCTCAAGAAACCTTTGTTCCAGAGAATCTGCAAGATTCATTGCAACCAGAAAGAGATGAATAACAGCAAAGAGATACCCTCAAACACCAGTTTCCTTTGTTGCCCATGATCTTCAAGACAAAGAGATTTACTCCAAACTCCTTAGCCTCTTTTACCTACTCATTATGTGTCTTATCTTAGGAAATGGGCGGAGATGGCGTATGCAACCACAGACTCCACTGCCATTTTCTGTGGGATAGCTGGTTGTACAGCTCTCTTCCTTCTCTTGTCACCAGTGGCAGGTGCAGTCTCTATCCCATTACTCATGAGCTCCTCTCTCCTTCCTGCTCAAGCTCCTCCTCCCTGCCATTTTTCTGCACAAAACCCACGGTCAGCAATGTTACCCACACAGGCGTTACCGTAATACGCTGTGGTGTTACACCAACCACAGCAGCAATCTCCCTCCTCTTCTCATTGTCAGGGTAGTGGTCTTCTTGGAACATCTTCTCCAACTCTTCTAGCTGCTCTAGAAATGATGCATTGTTCAAAGAGAGACATGGGGAGTATGTGATAAGAAAAAAAAAAAAAGAGAAACAAGTCAGGGGAAAAACATTTTTTACTATACTTAGTAAAATGAACAACATAAAAGATTATTTTTTTAGAGTAAACCACAAAAATAAACAAAAATCTTCTTCCACAGTAAAAAAAAAAAAAAAAGAGCGCTGCTAGCGATACTTTAAACATAAGTCACTCAGCAACCCTTATTTGAAGAAGTTTTCACACATCTAATAGTGTAGAATGCATAGCAATACCAGCTAGAGCAGTTCAGCACCTCCGTGCTGTGCCGTCAGCATGGCACTACAAGTGTCACTGCCTGCCAGTACGTTCCCCATTATCTACCTGCACTATAGAAGGTGCGTGACTTCTTCCTGACCAGTGGTAGAAATTCAGGATTCTCAAGTAACTCTTTTTTTCCCTTGGTCCCATCACAGCTACTTCCAGATTCCAGGACTGAAGGCCCCTTGCAGGACTGCTGAGCTGCAACGTTGTTTGAATTGCATTTGGATGATCGGCAAGTAGCTGGGCCACACACATCCTGCCCGCAGAGGTCTCCAGGGATTCCACTAGATGCTTTCTCAGCACATACTTCACTTCTGTCCTTACTTTTTATCTTCTTTGCCTCCTTTTCAATCCCATCGGAGTAAGAACCCTCACATTGACCTGCAGGCTTCTGTGCAAATTCAGCCACAGAAAGTGGGGGCACAGCCTTCATGTCACCGAGGAAATCCGACAGCTGCTCACACACTGAGGCAAGGTCGAGTTGGCCATCAAGGGCTGCTGAGTCTTGGGAAGTTGACCCAGTTGCCTGCAGGCTGCAGTATCTTTCATCTTCCCCCACCTTCTTTACAGGGCTGATCTTGTCTTCTGCTCTCAAAGTATCCTCAGCTTCTTCCTTTATAGCTGTGCTTTGGAATGCAGATAGCACACTGCTCCCTGGACCATGCTCACCCTCAGCGTCAACGTCTACCATAAAGTGCTCAGTATTCAGCGACGTGTCCTCCTTCTTGTGCTTGCACTCTACAAGGAAAAAATGAAAAACAACACCCCTCCACCTCACATGCACATTGCCTAAGACAGATGTGCCTGGATGGCATGAGAAAAATGGTGTGCCTGGATAGGAAGTTTCAGTTAAGGGAGAAGGAAAACCCCACACAGTGAAACCCAGGAGGGAAAAGAACTAGACTTCAAAATAAACACTGTCACCAGGACAGAGTGCTGTGAGGAAAGCAAAAGCAAAGAACGTGATATGATCAATATGAAGATATTCAAACACCTGTGATGAGAGAAGCCTCATTTTGAGAGTGAAGATGCCTGCAAAAACAACCAGCTGTAAACTAAAGGAAGAATTAATTCCAGACACAGAGTATAAAGGGAAGGTTGTATATTACAAATAAAGTAGTGGGAAAACAGCACTGAGGATAACAAATGTCTTTGGAATAAGGAGCTGAATAAAACTCAATGACTTAAAGACACCAAGTGTCACTTTATTAAAATGACAAAAAAAAAAAAAACAAAACAAAACAAAAACAAAACAAACAAACAAACAAACAAAAAATTTTGCTCTATTGTCATCAGTGATCATCTGACAAATTATATCACTTTTTAATTTATATAGGTTTCGGTTTCTGTCATATTCAAGCCGACCAAGCAAAAAATAAATTAGTTGTACAAACTTCTAATAACTGCTTTCTAATAACTGAAGCTGCAGTTTTCTGGAGCTTCAGCCACACCACTTATAAATAACAGATTTACAAAATAGGTAATGAAATAGGTGGCTGGGGACAAAAACAGGTAAAGAGGTCTGACCAAGTTTAACAAAAAAGCACAAACTGCATTACACTAAGAGAGACTAAGGATGACTGAATAGGAAAAGACAGGTCTCAGAAGAAAGAACACAACAAGAGAAGTAATTAAAATTGGCACCAGAATAATAAAGAAGCATTATATTTTCCCAGCTGAGATATACATTTCCAAACCAAGAAAACCTGCTGATTGTCTCCGAATGTGTGAGTCTGTGATTTTTGCTACTTAAAAAAAAAAAAAAAAAAAAAAAAAAAAAAAGAAAAAAGTTACTATTTCTTAAGAATAGAAAGTATAATAATAAAGCCAAAACCATGTATCTGCTTCTGTCTGGAAAGAAGAAAGTTTGAGTAAAATGTCTGCAGCATTTCAGTTGTATGTGCCTACAGAGAAACGTGGTTAATTCAGAGGGAAAAGATCTAAAATAATTTAATTTCACTCTGTCCTACTTTTGATATATATTGGTGGAATGCCAAAATAAAGGACTCGCTTTCTGCCTCAACATTTCTTTCTTCAACAATTATTAATCAAGAAGGAACTCCACAATACCACTCAGATGGGATAATCTTCATGAAAGTACAAGGGGACGCCAGGCTGCCTCCAAGACCTTCTAATTTGCCTTTTTGCAGGGTTAAGAGAACTAATTATTGCAGGGGAAAGAGACAGAGGCAGGAAACTATGCAACTATAATAACTTGATCTTGTTAAGCAGCAACAGTTTCCACTGCTGTTAAATGACATGAAATATCCTGATGGGAAGCATCAAGAACTAAGCGAGGCAGAAGCTCGCTATGTTCTATATAATTCCTTTCTCCACCATCCTTCTCACTGCCTCTGAGCTCAACTTGCTCATTACGTGAAAAAGCTAATATTTTCACGTGTCACCCATTCTGTCACTCGCCCTCTGCCTTAAATCAGGAATAGTATTTTCAGTTTAGCACTGATTTGAGAAGGCTTTTTACTTATTTTTACGCAAACCCCAGTATGTGCTTACATCACAAAATACATTTCAAAGTCTTGTGCATGTCCCTTGTATCTGCAGCAGAAGAAGGGACTGACATCTGGACATTTTATATCATCTACAGGAATACCCCTCCAAGAAAAAGTAAATTGCTCTCTCTATTTCTAAAACATACGTCAAAGGCCTGGCAACAATTTGGGATTGCCAAAGAGAAGGCCACAGATGAAAATGAAGTTTTGAGAGGCATGCCTTCATAGTAACATAGTAACCAACCTTCGTAGTAACATAGTCCTTTCTCCCATCATTCCTATGACAAGAGAGCAGACTGAAAATCACTTTGTCCCACTTTTAGATAAACATAACCTTAAACGGAGGGGATTTTAACTGACTGGGAACACCATACACATAGAGTCTGGAACACCTGAGCGGCTGAAGGTGAACAAGCAAGAAACAAAGCCCTCCTTTTCTTCTCACAACTTCTCCTTAGATGTTTCTTGGAACAAGGTAACCAATTGCATAGATTTTTTTTAAGGTTGTTTCAAGCGTTTGGCACAAAGCAACCCGAACACACGCACAGAGAGAAACACCAGCTCCACGGGTCCACCCACGCAAGCACAGACAAGGAGGAGGAAAACTGGAGAGCAGGTGACGGCGGTCGGTGCCAGCAGCCTAGAAACCCCGAGGCAGCGGGGAACCCCTCGGTGCGACACGAGGGGAAATCCACCTGCCCCCCACCCTCACACGCCAGCTTGCCCAGCGGGCCCGGCTGCAGCCCGTTGCCCCCCAACCCCCCACGGCGCTCCGGGCAAAATGGCGCCTTCCCCCACCCCCCCCCCCCCCCCCGGGGCAGGATAACGCCCAAGGCCGCGAGGGAGGCAGGGGGTAACGGCTGCCAGCCCGCACGGAGGGCCGGCGGCACAGGTAACAGCCCAGAGGAGGCGACAGGGTCGTTATGCTCAACCGGAGCTACTCATTAGGCTCGTTGGCGGGTGCCTCCCCGCCCGGTCGTTATTGAGAGCCGGTGTCCCGGTCCCACCGCCCGGCCCTTACCCGGCCCTTTGGGCGCCCACTCCTTCTCCGCGCCCGCCCCGTCCATGCCGGCTCGGCGGCGGCGCGTCCGGCCCGGTTAATGCCCGGTTAATGCCGGGCCTCGGCGGCGAGCCCCGGCCGGATTGCGACCGCCGGCCCCGGCCGGCTCATCAAGGCCACCTGGGCCGCCAGCGACTCTCGGGGGAGAGAGCGGGGTCGAGGCTACCTGACCCACCTACCTCAGCCGCCCGGGCAGGCGGGCAGCGGCGGAGGCGGGCCGCCCCGTCAGCAGCAGCCGCAGCTGGAGCCCGGCCGCACCCGCAGGTAGCGGGGCCGCAGCCCCGGAGCCCCCCGCGCGCCGCGGCCTGGTGCCGCCCGCCCGCCCCCTCAGGCGCCCCGGCCGCGGGGAGCCGGCTGCCCTGCGGGAAGGCCCCGGCCGGCCCGCCCGCCCTCGCACCGTGGGCGTGGGGGACCAGAGAGCCGGTCTACGAGGGGGGACACGCAAACCCGGCTCCCTCACGTAGGGTACAGGAAGGTCACCGGCACATCCGAGGACATCTGAAAGAGCGCGGCTTCAGCAGCTCCCACCAGGAGCGGGCCTAAATGTCGCTAATTGCGTGCCTTGGAAACCCAGATGTCACAGAATTGGATGGTGTAGCATGAATGAGATAAACCTCATTATCTTTCCTTGCAGGCTGGCAGGAAGAGATTAATTTTTGTGTGTGTGTGTGTGCGCTCTGTCTGCAGTTGTTTAGCAGTGCTTCTGATTCTCCATAAATTAGTGGTTGAAAGAAATAAATGGCACTTCTTGACTTTTAGGCTCTATAATTTTGCATCCTTTCAATTCTTAACAACTCTTAGAAAAGACAAGGCTCCTAACAGTGGTACCAGGCAGTTAGTGATCTCTCACTACTACAGGTAGTCATCTGCCCAGGTAACATTAAACCAGCTTTGTGCAATTGCAGGTGTCTACACTAGATGAAGGGCAGGAGAGAACAAAGACTGGCTTTTCTGGCTTCCTTCTCACGGGCAGTTGATGGAGAGAACTGTGCTGCAACTCAGGTCAGGATGGTTCCAGAAACCAAGCCCTCTGTGTGCAGCTTTCCTAACCACCAAGTGAAGTGCAGCTGGCTGTAAACACAACCTGTGTTGGCTGCAAACAGCAAAGACAGCGCTTGCTTGAAGAATATGATTGGCTTAATTGCGGTCTGCTGCACCAAGACAGAACAGTCTTCATCCTCATCTCAGTTATTAGCTCAATAGCTCACTGCTGGCATGGCACCCTTCTGCTGTGCATTTCCCTCTATGCCCTGTCTTCGTCTCAAGGTTTGCTCTAGCATCGAAGATCCTGCTCCTGCAGATGCTTTCACCTGAAAGTAGTTTCATTATGTTAAATGAGTGTAACCTGAAGCATGTGCACCAGCATTTTGGAGGCAGTGTAATTAAGTCTAACAGTGCACCTGGCTCAGCCAACAAACTTAACACGTGCTGGCTGAAATGTTAGTGGAGCTAAAATGGAATTTATTTTTTGTTAGCAGCATTCAGCTGACAAAACACATACATCTCTGATCTTAGAGGGGATGGGACCTCTTCAATATAAGATAAAAGCACAAAGATAAAAATCACTAAGTGCTTTAAAGGTTCCTGTTTCTGAGCAAGGTTGTGTTTATTTACTGAACTCTGGTCCTTATGTCAGATTTTTCTAGTACTCTGAAAGGGGATAAGAACTGTGGAGAATGCTTTCATTTATTTTCTTTTAGGAAGGACCGGCATAGGTCACCATTGCTATGACCTTTTTTTTTGGAGCCACACAGATACTTATATATATTTTATACTTTTTTTTTTATATGAAAAGATGAAAAAATGACAGCAGTCATAACATTTGATTTTCAGACATAAACCATGATTTTCTCAGATTCTCAACTTTTTAAATGTAGGTCATGCTTGTATTTCATTGTTGTTCTTACCACAAAAAGAAACTGCGCTCTAAAGAGTATTGTTTGCTTTTGGTTTTTTGTGTGTGTTTTTTTGTTTTTTTTTTGTTTTTTTAAGTATAGTACTGAATTTCATTTGTCCAGATATGCAATGTATAAGTCTCCATCTGTTCCTGCGGAAGCTGTTGATTTCTTCATACTTCAATTTACAGCCAGCTGTTTAAGATACACTTGTATCTCTCATACAGCGTTCCTATTCTGTGGACCTTCCTTCTTTGGGGATCGTACTAGGAAAGCATAGGGATGTGGCTGGCAAACTCTACTCTTCTATTTCAGTTTAATACTGATTTTCTAGGAAATCAGGTTATCCAGATCAGATAATGTAGGGAGAGATCCTGACTGAGAATTAAGACTGTGATAGGATGAAGCGGATACTCTGTCAACTTGAT